CTCCTCTTTAAAACAAGTAAGTTGTTCATGTTTTGGCTCTGGTACGAGAGGAACTTTAAAATCGCCAGGTGCTCAATACTCGCGTCCATGTTTGGACAACTTCCGTAAACACAGAGCACGCTCGCTGCAGTTGACGTCATTGTGTCCTCCGTTGCGCATGTGGGACACTTTCGGGCCATTTAATGTTCACACTGTAGTTCACATACAAGTCGCATTTAATTGGAAATGTGAACGACCTCGCAAAAACATTGGATTTCACCAAAAAATCGGAATTGAGCATTAAGCCCTGCAGTCTGAACGTAACCAAAGTGTACCTTAGCCTACCTTAACCTTACATTTTGATGAATAAAAACTGCTATTGAATAAATGCAAGATAGATAAGTTTAATGTCATATTGTTGGAACATTCTGCACAACCCAGACATATGAAGGTGGCGAACGCTCCACCAGGAAAGTTACATAGTGCACCTTTAATATCCTCCTGAGACCTTGCCCATTCATTTAAGTCCTTTATAGTGAACGTTGAGTTAACCAGTTTATCTTTTAAGTGTTTTGAGATAGACTCTTAATGGAGGGATAAAGTTCCTCTGCCTAAATAGGGCTGGGGGATTATAACAGAGGTGGAACCATGTCTTTGTTTTGCAATTCTCAAGTAAGTCTCAAGTCTTTGACCTCAAGTCTGAGTCAAGTCCCAAGTCAAATAAAGACCCCAGTCCATGTCGAGTCTCGAGTCACTGGCCCATAAATCCAAGTCAAGTCCAAGTCGTCTGCTTTGAGCTTCAAGTTATTTCAAGTCTGTAAACCAAAGTACCAAATAAAGCTTTGGAGTTTTCAATTTATGTTACTTTTAATATAAATTGTACTTAAAAAAAAAAATCATTGTATATTTATATATAAGTATTTATAGAGTATATAAGGATTGTTAAATTTGTAATTTTTTCCTTTTTAAATGTCTTGACAAGATCTTAGTGTGAATCATTATGGTCAGAATAGAAAGATTCAGATTTAAAAGTGCTTCTCAAGTCTTCTCAAGTCACAGGCCTCCAGTCCAAGTCGAGTCCCAAGTCTTATTCCATTATATCAAGTCAAGTCTCAAGTCCTGAAAATAATGACTCAGGTCTGACTCAAGTCCAAATTACAACTTGCAAGTCCCCACCTTTGGATTATAGGGTACTATCATGTCCAGGATAAAAAAAAAAAGAAAAGTTAATAGGAGTTACTTTGTGGCTGCTTAAAAAAAAAAAAAATTTAAAGGAGTCTAAAAACTAGGTAACTGTAGAAGCTTGTTAGAGATGTTGGTCATCAAAAAAGTTGTTTTTGTTAACTTCAAGTGGATTTAACACAAAATGTCCCGGGCGTCCATTATAGAGGACATGTTATAAACTTATAAATAAAAATCTAAATTGCTAAGGTGTTCATTTACCTCCAAATAGATAGAAAATCACAAACAAATATATATTGCAATACACTTTTTTTTTCTTCGGGTCCCAGGAGGATGTGCAGAGACAATAAATCTTGTTAAACTGTTATAAAATTTCCCTTTCGGAAGAGATATTGTTCAAGAAACTAAACAAAAAATCATCTAGTATTTATCACTCCATTTCTTCAACTTCCTTGGCATTTTTCCGAGCTAGCAACAGCGCACCACCCAACCATCCCCTCCTCCGCCTGGTAATTGAATGTGACCTCACAACTTGACCAGGCGTCGTAATTGCACACATACACACACAATTTACACACACAATTTACACTCCCCCAATGCAATCACGCCGGATTTGACGCCACCAGAATACAATTACCGACCGCCACAAAAGAGGGATTAGTGTTGGAACTGGCAACCTTCATCTGTCTACATGGTCATTACGGACAACCGCGAGGGTCAGCTGTGTAGGTCGACTGTCAATAATAATTAAATAGATGATTATGATTCATTCTTTGGTGTTTTTAAAGGAGCGTTTGGTGGCGATTTAATGCCAAGGTCAAGCAACAGCAGAATGGGTATGTGATGTGGGTTTTAATTAGTTTTTAGGTGAAGAATATGGGAAGAAAGGTCCACCAAATTGAATTCATGCTGCTCATAGAAATAAAATATAGATTATGGTGGAATAGTTGCACTCTCATGGAATTTGTTTCTATTAAAAAAATAAAATAAAATCAGAAGAGGAGATATTTTACTTCTATGGGGTATTAACTGCTAACACATAATATATATTTAGATCATCTTGTTACCTTTTATTATTTTGAAAATGCTAATTAAACATTGATGACGTCGGCTCATATGGAGGATTTGAATAGTGTCCAGGAGAGATTGTTAAATTACTTAAAGGTTGTATAGAGAATTTTTTAAAAGGAAGAGAAATACAGCGACAGTCCTTTTTCAAATGTTGTGCATGTGTGACACCACCTTCCTCCTCCACCGCTGCTCAGTAGAAACATCTCCTCCTGCCTCCCATTCAAGAATTACTGTTGAAGTGACCTGTCTAGAAGTAATTTAGCGACCGACATGTCAGTTTTTAGACTCTTCGTCTGCTTCATTCACGCCATCGCTGGAAGAGATCTCCAAGAATCACCTCAGATTGACTTTGCTCCTTTTCCCCTTCTCTTCGTCTTTCAGCGACCTCAAAAACGGACTTTCTTTTGCTGGTCGTGGATTCTCTTCCGCCATCGCAACAAACTTTGTGCGAACTGCAAGGAAGCTACAGTTTAAAAAAGCCTCTAAAAACTGCTGCATAAACCACATAATCCCCGCGCGCTGACGAGTCAGTTACACTAAAAACAAAGGGAGTTTGATTTACAACCTAACAGCCAATAGGAAATGAGGCAGCCTTGTTTTCTATTAGCTGATGTTTATCTGGCCTCAACACATTCACAGTTCATGGATTTTCATTTTTTTTTTTTTTTTTGGTCATCATAATTTCAAGACTGCTGCATCTCTGTAATGATATTTTAAACTTTCACAAACAAAAAACAAAAAAATCCTCCATACAACCTTTTAAATACGCTTAGATGACATCTAAAACCTCTTCAGGCATGTTTTTGATCAGGAAACTATAATAAAACATGATAGAAAGCTTAAAAAAAAATAATCTCTAAAATCAGACCTGGACCACTTTGGTTGACTCTGACCGGCCCGATTAAGATCATTTGGAATTACAAACTAATAAGGATGTAACAATAACCGAAATATTGTGATATTGTATCATCAAATTTCTCACAATAATATCATGGACCATCACAATATGTTGAATTACGACTCTGTTTTGCTTAAATTAAGAGTTATGGTGCAGCAAAAACTAAAAAGACACATAGGGAACTACGTAGACCATGATCCTTTGCTCAATTTCAGTGCAGACTGTAAGAAGAAATAACAGTTCTAAACACTTTTAAGTCTTAGTTCTTTGGATTAAGTCTTGTCAAGGCATTTTGAGAGGAAAAAGTAGCAAATTAGCCTCCACAAAATATCGCAGTACATATCATACTGTGAAATGTATATTGTGGAAAATATCGTACTGAGAGATTTGGATATTGTTACATCCCTAATCGTGAGCTTTCCCACAATATGGCAATAAATATTGTATTGTGAGGTTCATACTGTGACGATATTCTATTGTGAGACTTGGATGTTGTTACACTCCTTCAAAATAAACATACTTTAGCATTTTACTTCATGCCTGCACTAAAGTTGCATTACTTTTATTTTAGAGATGTTTTTAAATTACATTGTAAGGCAACCTCACTTTTTCATCTCTTAGTCATAACATAAACTCTTACCAGTCTTACCAGCTCATCAAAACAACGCTATTTACTGCTGTTTATAAAGAAATACTATTAATATTTTGCGGAATTGAGTTGGCACAGCCCTCCACAATATTTTCAATTTCTTATGTGGCCCCATGGAAAAAATAATTGCCCACCTCATGACCTAAACTATATGGAATAGTATGATTGGATCTAAGAGGTAGCCACATTTCAAACTCCACACCCTGTAGTGTGTAATCAGACACTTGTGTAATGTCACCAAGTACCTGAAATTGCAGAATGTGGCAATTTTACAGTTTAGTCATGTTTTGGGTAGGATAAGGAATCAACTGATCGTGAACAGTTGATAATAATAATAAAAAAAAAAAATCATTGTTGTATTTTGATCATTGTATTTGTAATCATAAAAGTTAGACTAAACATCTGCCAACAAACACATTTCAACCGGGCAGCACCTGGAGGTCTAAAGACAAGAAAGTGGAAAGTCACCAGCTACTTCTTGTTGTTACCTCCTCAAAAACATACCTGGAGTTGTGATTTGTTTTAGTAGTCCTGCATTATGAGTAGGTGTGTGCAAAAATATTCAAATATCGATATACCGTATTGTTTAACGTGATGATACAGTATCGATATCGTGAGTTGCTGTATCGATATATCACCAAGAGTATTTTTTTTTTGGCATATTTTACTAAATTATTTTGTTACAGCGCTACAGTTGTTGTTGCTTGTTTAGAGAAAGGAAACTCATTTAAGCGACACATTTGACATTTTCACTGTTTGGATGAGTGAAACGGGATTCATATTCATTTTGCGCAAGAGGTGGTTTAACAAAGACTTTTAGTGTCACAGCCATGAGTTAGCCTTTATTTTTTATTGAACCATATCAAATCGATTTAGAAATATATCGTACTGAATCAAATTGAAATCTCACTGTATCAAGATGTGTATCGTATTGTGCCCTATGTATCGAAGTATGTATCAAATCAGCAACTTCTTAATGATGCACAACCCGAATTATTAGTCTGTTTTACTCTCCAAAAGCTCAAAATGCTCTGTTCCGTCATGAAGTCTTAGTTTTCAAGTTTCAAAATGTCTATATTTTACCTTTAGTTCAGTCGAGATTGGCAATTCCAGGTCTGAAATCATCCAAATGATTTCAGAAAATAGCACGAAAAAAGCCTTTTAAGTTGGTTTGTTTGTTTGTTTTAATTCTCTTTTCTATTGTCTTTCTTTTACTCTCAGTCAAAGAGGCGAGGAACCTGGTGCCCATGGATCCGAACGGCCTTTCAGATCCTTACGTGAAGCTAAAGCTGATCCCAGACCCGCGCAACGAGACCAAGCAGAAGACCAAGACCGTCAAGTGCTGCCTCAACCCCACCTTTAACGAGACCTTTAAGTTGTGAGTCCTTTTCCTACGCTGCCTGTAGAGGAGTAGTGCAGTGTGCAAAAAGAAACGCTCGTTCTCCACTCATCCTCGTGTCCCTCTCCCTCATTTTTTACTTCTCTCAGTTTTTCTTGGTCCCTTTCGCTCTTCTTTTCGTTCTCTCACTCTCCCTCACCTTGGCATTCTCTTTCTCGTTCATCCTTTATCTGTGTTTTTTTTTTATTTTTTATTCATCTTGGCGTCCTCTCTGCCTCGTCTTTCTCTTTCTTTTGCTTTTTCTTGCTTCACTCATTCTTTCTTTCTTGCTGTCTCTTTCTTTCTCTAGTTCACTTTCTCTCTCTTACTGTTTCTCTCATTCGCCTCCATCCTTTATTTGTGTTTCTTTCATCGCTCTGTCTCTCTCTCTCTCTGTCTCGTGGTCCGCTCCCTTTGTCATTCTCCTTTCTTTCACTTTGTCTCTTTCCACTTACTCTTTCTTGCTTCCTCTCTTTCTCTCACTCTCCCTCCCCTTGGCACTCTCTTTCTCCTTTATTTTTTATTTGCATTTTTTTCATCTCGGCTTCCTCTCTTCCTGCCCTTTCTCTTTCTCCTTCTTAACTCACTCTTTCTTGCTCCTCTCTTCTTTCTTGCTTTCTTTCTTTCTCTCTTTCACTGTGTCTCTTTTACTCTCTCTCCCTCGCCCTCACACTCTTTCTTTTGCCTCCATCTGTTTATCTGTTTCTTTTCATCTCTCCCTCTCAAAATCTCTCTGTCTCTCTCTCCGTCCCCTCTCTGTCTCCTCTCTCTTTCACTTTTTTTCTTTTCACTTATTTTTTTTTTTGCTTCCTCTCTTTTCCTCTCTCTCTCTTACTCTCTCTTTCTCCCACTCTCCCTCCCCTTGACACAGTCGCTCTCCTTCATTCTTTATTTGCGTTTCTTTCATCTTGGCTTCCTCTCTTCCACCGCTTTGTCTTACTCCCTCTTTACTCACTCTTTCTTGCTCCCTCTCTTTCTTTCTTTCACTGTCTCTCTTTTCCCCTCCCTCACTCTCACACTCTTTCTTTCGCCTCCATCCTTTATTTGTGTTTCTTTCATCTCATTTTCTCTCTGTCTTTCTCTGTCTCTCTTGCTCTCCTCCCTCTCTCTTTCTCCTCTCTTTCACTTTCTCTCTTTTCACTCACGCTTTCTTGCTCTCTCGCTCTCTCTTTCTCCCATCTTCTCTTTCTCTTTCATTCTTTATTTGCGTTTTTTTCATATTGACTTTCTCTCTTCCTCCACTTTCTTTTTCTCCCGCTTCACACACTTTCCTGTTCCTTTCTTTCTTTCTTTCTCTTTCACTGTCTCTCTTTTACTTTCTCTCCCTCGCCCTCGCACTCTTTCTTTTGCCTTCATCCTTTATTTGTGTTTTTTTCATTTCCCACTCTTTCTCTCTTTCTCTCTCGTGGCCTCTCTCTCCAGCCCCACTCTCATTCTCCTCTCTTTCACTTTTTCTCTTTTCACTCCCTCTTTCTTGCTCCCTCTCTTTCTCTTTCTTACTCTCTCTCTCTCCCTCTCTTTCTCCTTCATTCTTTATTTGTGTTTCTTTCATCTTGACTTCCTCTCTCGCTCTCTCTATCTCTCTCTTTCCCTCTCTCACTCACTTTCTCTCTATTTCTGCCCCCTCTCTCATTCTCCTCTCAATCTGCCTTTTTCCCCTTTCTTTCACTCTCACTCTTCCTGTCATTCACTCCCTCCTCTCTGTCTCCCTTTCTCTCCATTCTTCTCCTTCATCATCTCTCTTTCATCTTGCCTTCCTTTCAATCTGCCTCTTTCTCTTTCTCTCTTACTCTCACTCGTTCTGTTGTTCTCAGTCCTCTCTTCCATTCTCTCTCTCTCTTTCATCCTGTCCCTTTAACAGTTTCTTTCATCTTGCCTTTCTCTCTCTCCCTCTGTTTGTCTCTCGCACTCTGACTCTCTCTCTCTCTAATTCTTTCTCTCCCCTTCTCTCCATCCCTCCGACCCTCCCCTCTCTCCTTCATCCTCCCTCAGTTTATCAGTTTCTTTCATCTTGCATTTCTTTCTCCCTTTCTCTTACTGTCGCTCTTTCCCATCACTCCCTCGCCCTCACTCCCTCTCTCTCTCTGTCTCTTTCTCTCTTTCGCCTTCATCCTTTATCTGTGATTCTTTCATCTTGCCTTCCTTTCTTTCTCCTGTTTCTTTTTCCCTTCTGTTCTCTTCTCTCTCTTTCCCACTCCCCCTCTCTCCATCTGTTTTTCTCCCTCTCTCCCTCCCTCTCTGCTTCTCTCTCCCTTTTTCTGTCCCTCTTTGCTTCTCTCTTCTTCTCTCTCTCTCGCTCTCTCTCTCTCTCTTCTTCTGTCTTCCTCTCTCTCTGCTTCTCTCTCTCTCTCCCCCTCTCTCTCTCATCTCTGCTTTTCCCTCTCTCTCTCTCTCTCTCTCTCTCTCCTTTGCCTCTCTCCCTCTCTGCTTCTCTCTCTCTCCCCCTCTCTCTCACTCTCTCTTTGCTTTTCTCTCTCTTCCCCTCCCTGCTTCTCTCTCTCCCTCCCCCTCTTTGCTTTTCTCTCTCTTCACCCCCCCTTTACTTCTCTCTCCCTCTTTCTCTCCCTCTTTGCTTCTCTCTCTCCATCTCTGCTTTCTCCTTCTCTCTCTTCCCCTCTCTGCTTCTCTCTCTCTCTCTTTACTTTTCTCTTCCTCTCTTTCTCCCTCTCTCCCTCTTTTCTTCTCCCTCCCTCTCTCTCGCTTACACTCTTTGCTTTTCTCTCTCCATCTCTGCTTTTCTCTCTCTCTCTCTCTTCCTCTCCCTGCTTCTCTCTCTCCCCCTCTTTGCTTTTCTCTCTCTTTCCCACTCTGCTTCTCTCTCTCCCTCCCCCAGTCTCCATCTCTGCTTTTCTCTCTCTCTCTTCCCCTCTCTGCTTCTCTCCCTCTTTGCTTCTCTCTACCTCTCTCTCTCCATCTCTGATTTTCTCTCTCTTTCCCTCTATGCTTCTCCCTCTCTCCCTCTCTTACTTTCTGACTCTCTCCCACTCCCTCGCCTTCACTCTTTCATCCTTTATCAGTGTTTCTTTCTTTCATCTTGGCTTCCTTACTTTCTCGTCTCTCCCTCCCTTCCTCCCCCCTCTCCTCTCCTCTCCTCTCCTCTCTTCTTCTCTCTTCACATTATGTTAGGATTTCCAGGCATGTGTAACCGCTGGCAGTGTGATAAGCACATCTGCCCCCTCCTCAGACTCTCAGAACCTTTTGGACTTGGATCCTGCTCCTGGCTCCGTTTATGCGTCGGCTTTATCAGAGGAGGAAAGATGGAGATTTGAAATTTGATAGAAGATAGAAATTATACAATCTTTACATAAGAAGGAGAGCGGGTGATTCAGTATTTCAGACGAGTTGAATTAGTGATAGACTTGAACAAACGGCTCTATTGAAAAGTGGTAAAAAGTAATCAAATTATCAGTATTAGTGTAATTTTACTTTGAACATGAGAGTAGAGATTGGTCACTTAGCTCTGGGGCTAATATTTAAGACAGATTTTTATAATTTTTACTAAAATATACGATTTGAAATAGAAACTCTATTACTGTGAATACTGTGTGCTGATCTGTATAGTACATTTATAAAAAGGAAAGATCAAGTATCAACAGAAATTATTTTTGGCCCTCCACAGTGCTTTTTTTGCTACTAACTTATTCTTGAGTTTCTGAATTATGAAAAATTAGGACAGTTGCGTAGTGATTAGCAACAAAAAATATGTATTATTTCTAAAATGTAATATTAACCTCTTAACACCTGAATTTATATAGATGTATATGGGCCCGGTCAAGCAGAAGTAAACAGCAAGGCCAAAAATTCAAGTTAATGCATCTGATATAAAAATGTATTGAACAGATACATATGTACTCTAGTTTATGAAACTGTTTACCTTTTTTTCTGTACCATTTTTGGTTCTAAAGTTACATACGTTTTAAACAGACCATGTATGAAACATGGAACAAAAATTATTTCCCAAATTTCAAAGACCTGCAAATCATGTAAATAAATGGATGTATTTCATCATATCTTGTGTTATTCCATCTTTGAACTGTTGATGAAGGTACATGATTTAAAAAAAAAAAGTATTAAAAATGATAAAAATTTGCTTGGAAGGACTGACATATTTTATAGAAATAGTTTCCTTTCATTTTGAAGTAATATTAAAGTATTCGGAAGAAAAAAGATGACAAATTATGCAAAATCATGCACCTTCTACAATTTTCCCTCTGTTACTTTTCCCTCCGTTACCATGACCTTTCTTAATAAAAAATCTCATTACTCAAAAAGTAAGAGGTTTTTCAACCTAATCTTGTACCATATGGTAGAAAACTATATGAAGCAAATATTCAAACCAGTTATGTTATGATAAGTAAGTGAGAACCGGTAGTTATCGCTGTTTGTATTTATTGCCCAAAAAGTGCTGCATATTTCATTCCCTCCGTTACCAACATGAGTTTTTAAATTTTTGTTAACAACTTGAAAAAATATAACTCTTTCCTACATTCTGATACTTTACTTATTTCAATAGTCCCTCTAGTTTCTGAATAAGAGCTATTTGAATGTAAAAAATCTGCCCGTTTCCCTCCGTTACCGCTTGACCGGACCCATATAAAAAAAAAATTATGGTTTTGGCTTTAAATAGATGGTAAATAAAGTTGATATTATTAATTTCACTATAGCAAAAACATTAAACAGAAATTTGAGTATGCTGCAAATTTGCGACAACTAGAAACAAGTGCTTGCCAAAGGTTTCTAGGAAGTGGCACTGGGGGATTGCAGCAGCTCTCTCATCTTATATCTTGATCCAAACAGATTGTTGCATATTTGTGACATTGGGCTTCACAGGAATAATGTATGCATTGTAACAGGAAGCTGAAACCAGGAGGTATTACATCGTTTCTTTAAAGTGCACATGACAGGTTTTGATGATTCTCTAATTTTTGTGAAGAAAAGTTTAAAAATATGTTGAAAATTACAGGAGTGTTTCATGTTGATGATATCAGACTATCCAAAAATTTAGACACAATTTTACTTACAAAACTAAATAAAGGTATTTTCTTATATATTTACTTGTCAAATAATAATTTTTCGTCGTGATTTCCAACCAGGAAGCAGAATTTGAAACCTAAAAAATGGCCAGACTGGAAAAGAAAGAGTCAAATGTTTAATAAAATCTTAAATATAATAATCTTAACTGTGCTTTAGTCAAATGTGCAAGGAGTTGATCATTGCAAACTAAACCTAATATTGTAGCTTTTCCTACAACAACTACTAGTGTTACTTCATCACTAACATACTCAATAAGTAAATGTACTTTGTTTTGCATGATGAAGTTAAGCCCTACAAAAAAGAACATCTTATTATTGCTTATATAACTGGTTGTTTGCATATTCTTTATAATTGACAGAATGCTGCAAATGGAAATGAGTTTTCTTTTTAAATGTCTAGTTTGTGTGGTAGTTCTGAACACAGTTAAAGATGTGACGCACACCAGGGCTTTCTGCCTACTCGAATTCTCTAAAAACAATTTGTTTCCATAACAACCAGTTAATTTTAAATGCACAGTTTGAACTCGAGCCTTATGACGAAAAAAAAGACTATTCACGGACTGAATTATATTTAATTCGACGAAATCCTATCCTATAATCAAAGTATTTTCTTTCACTGCGATGGAAAAAGATGTGAAAAAGAAGATGAGGTGCTATGAGTAATACAGTAGGATTTCCCACACATTTGGCTTTGTGTTTTGGCAGCCATTGGTTCTAAATGATTGTTACCTCTTGCAGGATCTGATCACAAGCTCTTTTAAAATCCTATTAGAATCCAGAAGGATGCACTACATTATCATCCTAATGGTTATAGGTTTAGTAGAGTGAATTGTCAAATAAAAATAGATTAACTTAAAACAACAAGTTAAGTAAATATTGGCTAAAACTAAAAATAAATAGTATTCATTATCAACATTAAAGGAAATATAACCTATCCTCTCACTGTTTTGAAAAAGGTGTTACAATCACCACTGAACCTGGGTTGCCAGTGCCTGAATCTGCAGATAGAGGACACTTACTAGTTTGTCTCATTCTCAGTACATGGACCTGCCTCATGTGAAAACTCAAAACCTCCAGAATTCCCTTTCCGAGCTACAGAGGCTGCACTCGCACTGACTCATGACTGGCTGCAGGGTTTAGGTAGTGACCATTTAGCTCAGAGAGAGGCATTTTAGGTTTAAACTTACTGGATTTCAGCAGTGGAACTGGCAACCCAAATGTGAGACTCATGTGAGGCTCATTCTGATTTCCGACTAGAACACTGAATAATAACATTAACAGCTTCAACTTTAAAACAGTGGTTGTTCAATGGTCAAATATGTCACCATCTTTAACCAAAATACTTTTTTTTTATATATTGAAGGGTTGTTGGTGTAACTTTTTAACTCTTGCATCTTTTGATAACACGTCATGCTGATTCATCAGTCTAAACATTGGACATAATTCTTATTTCTTATTTATTTGTAAAGGGACAGTACACATTAATGAACACTGAAAATGTAAATATGTAAAGATTATAGCCAACGTGACTAATTTCCATCTTCAGTCCCGCGCCAGGTTGATGTGAAATCATCTACACGACAGGAGAAAGTACAGCAACAATCACACAAAAGTACATAAAACCTGCACACTCACTATACATAAAACTCGTTTCAAACAATTAATTTGAAGTTTGAAGTTTATACTTGATTTGAACATGTTTAACAAAAATCTTACAAACTGTTGCTTTAAATTTCCTATATCACATAAAATTGACTCTTATGAGCTTTTATACACGTCATAATGTTGTCTCCTCATCAAAAACAGACCTGGAGTTGTGTTTTGTTTCATTCACATGTTTGAGTAATCCTTTATTATTAGTTTGTCTGCATCTCCAAAGGTCAACATGCTGTCTTCCCCCTTATGATGTCATATTGTAGTAGTTTTCAAGTTAACAGCTGCCTTTTACCTTTTGTTTGGTAGAGATTGCCAGCTCCAGGGCTGAATTAATTTAAATGATTTTGGTCAAGTCTAGTCACAAGTTGAAACTGGTTTTCTGCATACTCAGCCTAAATATGCAGGGTTTGTGAGTTAAACATGTGTGAAAGAAACAAAACACAACTCCGGGTCTGTTTGTAGATGAGAAAATGGTGTAATATGGCCCCTTTAGCACTAATTTTGAGGTTCTTATTTACCCTGCTCATTGCAATCAGACCATAAAACATTACACTACTATAAATGACCTCCATTGATTTTTAAATTTATTTTTTTTTTGTGTGTGTGTCCCTTAGCCATCTGAAAGAACATGACAAGGACCGGCGCCTGTCTGTGGAGGTGTGGGACTGGGACCTGACCAGCCGTAACGATTTCATGGGCTCGCTGTCCTTCGGCATCTCCGAGCTCCACAAGCAAGGCGTGGACGGATGGTGAGAAAAACAACCAGCACACACATGGCAACCCACTTCTGTAGAGTCCTAAGCTCCATTCACACACGCAGCCTGACCCGGGAATTTACCTGCATTTTGTCAGAACAGGGTCAAAACAAAGCCAGAACTGATCAAAAAATAGTCTAGCCAAGTTAAGATTACTTGAATTAAGAAAGTTTTGCTTGACAAGTAAAATTAAAATACAAAAACACACCTTGTCATACTTATACTTAAAGTAAGAACTCTTTGCACTTAAAATGAGAAACAAAATCGAAAGTTGCCTGAATTAAGAGAAAGACACTTATTCCATTGGTAGATAATAAGTTGAATCTACTCAGATAATGTCAAATGTTCTCATGTCGCATTCTGTTGAACTCGGGACTCGGGGAAAACCGACCTCCACCTCGAGAAAGTGAATGAGAACAGAGCCGACCCGGAAATGTTCTGGGACCAGCGCATGTGTGAATACTGACTGTGTCCGAATGTCCACACTGTTCCCTTCTTCTCTACACTATTTATGGTGATGCACTCAAAAAGTAGTGCACTCAAAACTTCCCACAATGTGCCTTGAAAAGCAATGTCCAGTACTAGTATAGACCAGAGTTGAAAAAATAACAGCATGGTGAACGGTCTTTAATGGGACATAACATGACTGAATGAAGCAGATAGAAGCAGAAGTTTAAACTGATTATGAATAAACCACAATTAAATAAAGCGTTATGGTGTAAAGTTACTATCATTAGTCACTAACCTTAACTTAAGTAAGGTGACCAGACGTCTCTATTTCACCAGGACAGTCCCAGTTTTGAGCCCTGTGTTCCCTGTCCTAGTGGATTTATCCAAAAACAATGATTTGTCCCAGTTTTATACAAGAAATGTCTCTTGTGTCCCTATTTTTAACTAATTTGATCCCTGCCAACAATAAAGAGAGGCATACATTGTCATTTGTTTAGGTAAAATGCAGAAAAACATGCTTAAAAATGAGCAAAACACAAAGAAAATGTGACTGTACTGACACGTTAGTCATGAATGAGCGCATAACAATTTTCTTTCATTACGTACTCGATTCACAATTTTATTATTATAAACCACCACAAACCGGGGTGTCCCAGTTTTTGTTTTTTTGTTTTTTAAATCTGGTCACCCTAGTTAAAAGATCATTTCTAAAACTCCCATTTGTGTGAGATCCAGCTTGACAAAATATCAGATTTGGGCAAACTTTTTTTCACCTTGACATCAGAGAGTCACGTGACCTGAATTTAGTGCTACTGTGCAGGCCTATGTGCAGGAACGACAGGTTAGGGGCTAGTGTGGACATTCAGACACTGCCATAGTCATTTCTGAGTGTTCTGGCATTTTGTCCGATCGATGTCCTGGTAAGTGTGTGTGTGTGTGAACGGGGCTTTATATAATGTGAAATAAGAAGAGCAAAGCAAAGCAGGAGGATAGAGGTGACCTTGTTCATTACCGCTCTGAGAAACATTTGAGATTTGATGCCAAAGCAAATGTACGTCATGTGTGTTTTATCTTGGCTTCTTTATCTAGGCTCTCCTCTTCTCTCTCTCTAATCACAAAGCACGCGCTCCCTATCTCCCCCTCTCGAGGTCTTTTTGCTGACGCTGCCCTGTCAAGCTTTTAATGAGATGCCAGTGTCTGGGGTGGAAGACGGCCATTATAGACTCAAACTTTACCCAAAAAACTATTTCTAGATTCGAGAAAGGAGACATAATACTACTGCGCTGTATTCTGGCTTATTTAAAGTGCTTTTGGACAGGTTAGTATTGGTACTGAATCATGAAATTATGTAGTGTATCATTACTCAGATCAAAACAGACAAACTGGCAACACTTTATAATTTCTACACCTAATTATTAGACTTATTAAGGTGTAGTTATTACAAAATGTCTGCAACAATGTCATTTAGGGTGCCTTTAAACTGGACTAAACCTGAACTAAACCAGGACTAAACCAGGACTACAACAAGACAAGATTATATTACATTATGTGCCTGATGCGCTTTACTCTACTCTGTTGGAAAAGCTAAATCAGCACAACAAATTTCATTAACACAGCGCAAAGATATTGATTTTTCTGTTGTTAATTCAAGTGCTGAAACTATGAGACTGCATGAATGAATCAACTGCTAACACTTAATAGAAAACAACTAGGGATGTAACAGTAACGGAAATATTGTGATGTCGTATCGAAAAAAAAGTCTCACAATAATATCGTGGGATGTCAAAATATATATAATTACAAGTTCCTTTGCTTAAATGCATTTTTTATAGAAGCAACAGCTTATAAACATGGGGAACTACATATCCCATGATTCATTTCAGTGCAGACAACATGAATAAATGTTTTTTACTTGAATTCTTGGGATTATGACAGTAATGATTCGCACTAAAATCTTGTCTAGGTATTTTAAAAGTACAAAAGTTTCCTATCTACAATTACATTAGCCTCTCCAAAATATCATAAAAATATCGTACCGAGAGATTTGGATATCGTTAGATCCCCAAAAACAACATAATAACAAATTTTGGAGAATGTTTGATTAAAGTTGCACTATGTAACATTTCTGGTAGAGCACCCACCACCTGCTTTGCCTGGAATAATCCACAGTATGATGGGCCAAGATACCTACTTTTCTTGCAATAAAAACTCTTATATAAGATTGAATATGGATAAGTTTAATGTCATATTGTGGAATATTTTAAGCAATGTGATACATCTCGCTTTATATCCCATTATATTGTACACTTAATGATCTTGAGGGTTCATTACTGAGATGTAACAATAACCGAAATATTGTGATATCGTATCGTCAAAAGTCTCAAAATAATCGTCACAATATATTGAATTACAAGTTCCTTTGCTTAAATGCATTGTTTTATAGAAGCAACAGCTTAAAAACACAGGGAACTACATATCCTGTGATTCATTTCAGTGCAAACAATATGAAGACATTTTTTTTGTTTTTAACTTAACCTCTTGGGTTTATAACAGTAATGATTCGCACCAAAATCTTGTTAAGGGATTTTAAAACCAAAAAAGTGTCCCATCTGCAATTATATTAGCCTTTCCTAAATATCATATCGTGAAAATATCGTACTGAGAGATTTGGATATCGTTACATCCCTAAAAACAACATAATAACAAATTTTGGCGAATGTATGATTAAAGTTGCACTATGTAACATTTCCTTTGCCTGGAATAATCCGGAGTATGATGGGCCAACATACCTACTTTTCTTGCAATAAAAACTCTTATATAAGAATGAATATGGATAAGTTTACTGTCAAATTGTGGAACATTTCAGTCAATGTGATACATCTCGCTTTATATCCCGTTATATAGTGCACCGAATGATCTTGAGGGTTCATTCCTAGGGATGTAACAATAACCGAAATATCGTGATATCGTATCGTCAAAAGTCTCACAATAATATCATGGGCTGTCACAAAATATCAAATTACAAAGTTCCTTTGCTTAAATGCATGGTTTTATTGAAGCAACAACTTATAAACATACGGAACTACATATCCCATGATTCATTTCAGTGCAGAACAACATGAAGAAATGTTTTATACTTGAAATCTTGGGATTATGGCGGAAATAATTCACACCAAAATTTTGTCAAGGTATTTTAAAAGCGAAAAAGTCTCTTATCTACAACTATATCAAAATATTGCAATAAATATCGTACTGTGAGATGCATATCGTCATAATATCGTACTGAGAGATTTGGATATCGTTACATTCCTATCCACTGCAGAATCTTGTTTACTCATTATGTCAGCCCAAACTAAATGAAGGTAAGAGCGGGAAGGGCATCTGCTTTAAAATGTAATTTATATTTCATATGGTTTATATTACAGTACTTAATCTTCGAATAAATTGCTTTTACTTCATGGTTTTTCTGTTGATGACCCCTTTATGCAGTATATATGACAACAGTATTGATTATGTAAAAGCAGAGCCCCCCGTGTTAAGATTTGGGCCTGACCGTATCAGAAGGAGAGCAGTACATCGGTTGATAATGGTTATTCTTTATGACTGGAGATAGCGGCTGTAACTGCTGCCTTTATGGAGCTAATGGTCTGAGTTTAACTGTACGAGCCGGCCGGCGATTGATTAAACCGTGAATATTGTCCATGTGTCTCCAGGTTCAAGCTGCTGTCCCAAGAAGAGGGCGAGTACTTCAACGTCCCAGTGGCTCCTGAGGGGGAGGAGGCCAATGAGGAGCTTCGCCAGAGGTTTGAGGTATGGGTTTTTTTTAGAAGCAGACAATATAAATGGCCCATACGGTCTAGCAATATTTTAGGACCCGATTATACAGTAAAAATTTTCCCCACATTATATCTAACTCCCATACGCTCATAAATTTACTGTCTTTATACTCAATGCTGTGTACTCAAGAACATTAAATAAATAGATGGTTTCGTGGTTTTATTCATATCGATCCCCATTAGTGAGTAAAACCGCAGCTATTCTTCCTGGGATCTACTCTTTCAAACTTTTAAAGGTGCCCTATGTAACTTTTCTACTGGAAAGTTACTATGGTATCTGTTTGGCTTCATGGAAATGCTGTTGCTTTGCTTGAAATGTTCTACAGTGTTGCATTAAACTCATCTAAATTTATCTATCTCCAAGGAAATAAACATTTAAACTTATGGTACGTTCAGACCGGAAAGCTAAAATGCTGAACTTTTGGCGTTGGATGTGCCGCATCAACCAATCAGGGACGACTATCCCGTGACGCAGCAACGTTATTATCCAGAAAAAGGAGAAGAAAGAGAAAGTCCCAAGAGCCACAAACACCAGAACAAGAAATCTACGCCGTGTCGTTAGCAGAATTTAAATTTATACACTCCCCAACCAAGACTACACCAGGAATGGACCAGGACTGGACCATTACTAGACCAGAACTGGTCCAGGACTGAATCAGAACTGAACCAGGTTTAAACCAGGAATAAACCAGGACTGAACCAGGTCTAAACCAGGTCTAAACCAGGACTAAACCAGGACTAAACCAGGACTAAACCAGGACTGGACCAGGACTAAAACAGGACTGAATCAGGACTGAATCAAGTCTAAACCAGGACTGGACCGGGACTGGACTGGACCGGGACTGGACCGGGACTGGGACTGGACCAGGACTGGACCAGGACTGAATCAGGACTGAATCAGGACTGAATCAGGACTGAACCAGGACTGAACCAGGACTGAACCAAGACTGAACAAGGTCTAAACCAGGACTGAACAAGGTCTGAACCAGGACTGAACCAAGTCTAAACCAGGTCTAAACCAGGTCTAAACCAGTCTAAACCAGGTCTAAACCAGGACTGAACCAAGGTCTAAACCAGGACTAAATCAGGACTAAACCAGGACTAAACCAGGACTGAACCAGGTCTAAACCAGGACTGAACCGGAACTGAACCGGAACTAAACCAGGAGTGAACCAGGACTAAACCAGGTCTAAACCAGGACTGAACCAGGTCTAAACCAGGACTAAATCAGGACTAAACCAGGACTAAACCAGGACTGAACCAGGTCTAAACCAGGACTAAACCAGGACAGAACCAGGACTAAACCAGGTCTAAACCAGGACTGAACCGGAACTGAACCGGAACTAAACCAGGAGTGAACCAGGACTAAACCAGGTCTAAACCAGGTCTAACCAATGTCATTCCCGGCGTATAAATATATAAACGCCGCCACCTCCTCCGATCGCCTCCGCTCATGTGTTTTATGTAATAAATACACTAAAGTCACTCTCAACTCCCGGGAAAACAAGGCACTCGCAAACCACAGCGGACACCCTGGACACGCATCAAGTATGCTTCTCCCCCAAATCTTCATGCATTTCCTTTAATCAAGTAACCAACAAAGCAAAATATCGGCCTTTGCTGGAGCTTTAACACCGATACCTGACATTCTGATAGGTGTGAAATATCGGTCTCATTTGAGGTGTGCGTGAGTGTGAAAGTGTGTGTGAATGTGCGACGCGTGAGGGCCACTCGGGGAGAGCTGTTAGCAGTTGGCAGGAGCTCTCTGGCACTGCACCGGTCCACACGTGTCCCTGTCGTGTGTGTGAGTGTGTGTGAGTGTGTGTGTGACCGACCACTAGGCTCATTAACATACTTGGCACAGCGCAGGGGGGGACTCTGGTTTCCGTCGGCTTTATTCTTCCGCCCGAGAGGTAATTTAGCCATATTTCTCCAGAGTTACATTTGTCAGAACATATTTTACTGGTTTGCCGCTAATCAGAAGCCATCCGTCAATTTCAAAACTAGTTCCCAAAGAGTAATTTTAAAAGATAGATGAGCAGCACTACATGAAAGAGAAAGTGTTCATTTTAAAACACACTGAACAAAAGTGGCGTTGAGTGATGACTATTCTATCTGCTCTTGGAGACTGTCTGCAGGATAGAAAATGTCCCTGGTCCCTAGTCTCATGTCCAAACCAAAACTTGAAGCTGCTATATTACACATAAGGTCCTATATGTGAGATTTAGGTCATGTTATAATGTTCTTACTGCCTCAAAAAACATGCCTGGAGTTGTGTTTTGTCATTTGAGTAATCCTGCATTATTAGTTTGTCAAAATTTTCAGAGCTCAAACTGCTCTCTTCCACCTTCTGATGTCATGTAGCTGTAGTTTGCAAGTTTATAGCTCCTTTGACTTTTTGTTTAGTACAGATTTGCAATTCCAGGTCTGAAATTCTCCAAATGATTACAGTGAAGGTGTATGGAGTTTAAAAACACAGTTGAGTACTTCCTGTAAATAAATGTACAGGGTTTGTGTGTGAATGAACCAAAACACAAGGTGTTTTTTGATGAGGAAACAACATTATAACGCAGAAAATAGTTTTATGTGGGCACTTGGAGCAGGGTAGAAAGAATGTTTATACAATTCTCTTCTTCATCTGGTGACTTATACTTTTGTTAGACTGATATACTGGATATCTGGCCAGTATTTGCATTTTTTAGCATATCTCCAGCAGAGGCTGATACTTTGTTTGGGTCAACCAGCTGTCTAAAGAATTGCATAAAGCTTCATTTGAACACTTCATTGCGAAGAGGACACTGCACAAAAGCTGACTACGCCACTCTCGTATCCAGTGTGTAGTAAAACAGGGTGGTAGATGAGTTTGTGACCAATTAAAATTGTATAATTAAGGGGAAAAATGATAAAAGTCTGCACTAAATGTCAGCCAAAAAATAGTGGTTTTTTTGTTGTTGTTTTTTTTTTATTTAAAGGGACAGGGCATATTCATGAACATATACTTGTAAATACGCAAGAATTAGCCTGAAAGCTACTTTACATCTGTAGTCCCTAATAGGTCAGAGAGACAGAGACAATATAAGACAACATCACACAATAGACAAACTGTCAATGAGAATTCATCAGACAAACATGGTAGAAACAGCACAATAAGACACAATCATGACATACAACCCTGACATTTACAGAGGATCATAACATTAATGATCACAGATCTGGTTTCTCTTCAGCCATCGCTTCAGATTGGTTTTAAAAATACCTCAATGAGTTTTGTGCAATTTTGTAAAACATTTCAGACAAAGTAATAACATCTCAATGGAGACAAGCAGAAACCAGGTCAAGTTACAAGTCAGGTGTGTGGAGAGGCAAGCCCAGTCATAGAAAGGATACATGTTTTTCAACACATTTTAGAAGCAATAAAGCATCCACAATAAAATAAATGCTTTTTCTTTAGTTACATTTTCACCAAAGTCTTATGTGTTGGGGGTATAATAATAACTAGCCCTAATGATCTATATCTGTGCTCTATTTGTACACCTGATTGTGTGTGGTCAGTTTGTTCAGTGCCCTGTCACCTCCACTGGTCCCTGTGTGTTTGACTGTGTCCGTCCATCTGCTCTAGTCCATCCATCTTCTCAAGGTCACGCTCTCTCCCTTTCTCCCTTTCTCTCTCATTCTGTTTTTTTTTTTCTCTGTCTCTGTCTCTCTTACTCTGAGTTTTCTGTTACACACCTTTGGGAGTTTGAGATGTGACTGAGGCGACAAGAGACACAGGGAACCAAAATCTATACCTAATGCAGTGGTTGATGTGATTCTGAATGTGAACTGCTGCTATATTTTAAAAACAAATAAGAATGTACTAAGAAGTTTGTGTACATTTAAACATTATTTCCACAATATAATATGTAATAGCCATTTAATTTAACTTTTCAGTAATAATTAAGATTCATTTGACCCATTTCCAAATGTTCCCTGTTAGGGCTGGGTATCATTAAAAAGTTGCCGATACGAATCATACCTCCATACAGTGCACTTTTGATATGATATATTTCAAATCGATTTGAAACGGTTCAATAATGAAACACGCCCATTTTAATCCTTAAAACAGTAAAAATGTCAAATAAACAGGTTTTCTTCCTCTGAACAAGCAACAGAACTTTAGCTGTAACAAAATAATTTAGTAAAATACACCAAAAAAATACTTGATATACGCGAGATATATCGATACAGCAACTCACAATATCGATACTGTATCACCACTTCATATGATGCGATATACCGATATTTCATTATTTTTGCACACCCTTATTGCCTGTATGATTTGGCTCCCACCAGTGGAACAAACCAAAAAATCTAACTTTGGTTACATCTACATACCTTGAAAAATATGCATTCTTACTATGAGTGTGGTCGCCTCTCCGCAGATCTGACCTGTAATTAAGCCTGCTAGTGTTATCTGCTTGTCTAAATTCAGGTTTAATGCCATACTCTTGAACCTTCCAGGCAAAGCAACAACATCTGCACAGATACAAAGTCGGGAATGTGGACCCTCCACCAGAAAAGTTACACAGTGGACCTTTAACATACTTAAAATATTATATACATACATTATTTGTAGCCATACCGGCTTGTCAAAGTCTGATCCCGTCAGATCTCAGAAGCTAAACAAGGTCTGGTTAGTACTTGGATGGGAGAATATCAGGTGCCAATGCAAAAATTGTTATTGTGTCCTTAGGCAAGACACTTCACTATCATTGCCTAGTATGAAAGTAGTGTGTGCGTGAGTGTTGGTGTTGGTCCGAGGGACTTGCTTCCGTCAGTCTGCCCCAGCTGTGACATTAACAGTAGCTTACCACCACCGAGTTTGGAGGGAATAAAAAAAAAAAAAAAGAAAGATCTGTAAAGCGTCTTTGTGACATATGTCGGTGAAAAGCACTATCTACAACTTACTTATTATACATTACATATATATTAAGCAAAATTGTTATAATGCTGTTGCCTCATCTAAAACATACTCAAAGTTGTATTTTTTAATTCACACATTTGAGTATTCCTTTATTATTAGTCTGTCTACATCTCCAAAGCTCAAAATCCACCCTTCCACCTTGTGATGTCATGTAGGGGCAGTTTTCAAGTTAACAGCTACCTTTTACTTTTTTTTTTTTTCAGTAGAGATTTGGCAATTCCGGGTCTGAAATCATCCAAAGATTTTAGTGAAGGTGTATGGATTTTAAAAACACAGGGGAGCGCTTTCTGTATTACCACATGACATCACGAGGTGGAACAGTGTGTTTTCTGTGTGAGAGAAGAATTCAGCCTAAATATGCAGAGTTTGTGTTAAACATGTGTGAATGAAACAAAACTCCAGGTATGTTTGCGAAGAGGAAACAACATTGTAACATAGATCAGAAAATAGTGCGATATTTGTGACAAAACAAACAAAATTAACATCTAGAATAAGTAAGTAGATGTTTCAAAAGTTCAAAAAAGTGGTCGATCACTGTTTTACCCCATTGTCGATGCCTGTGTCCCCCACAAATATCTCTAAGGGACGCCTCTCTGTCCGAACGTAAAGGACTGGGGCAATTACAAGCTTCCACAGTGCATTAGCTGGATCAGCAGGAACACATTTATACGAAAATATACGGCCCTATTTAACCCTCCGCGTTCCTTTGTGCTAATACCAAGTCCGCTTTTCTAAGGTCATTGTAAAAGCTGAATGAGGGCCAGTGTTTTTTTATGACAAAGGCAGGAAGAGGAGAGGAAGGAGAAGGAGAGATGATTAAATTGAGTTACAATGGAAGAGACTGAAAACTAATGCAAACTCAGACCTCCTCCAGATGTATTATATTTGAGAATTGTTGAAAAGTGCGAAAGCTTTTAAAGTTTGAGATGGAGAATTCAATGAAGGGCGCAGACAAGTGCAGAGACGGATAGACTGAAAAGAGTGGTGCGGGAGGCCATCTTGTTTAGGGAAAGTGTCAAGTGTGGCGTTCAATAAGTGCAATGGCAATTCTTACTTTTAAAGAGCAGGTACTGTGCAAAATTATTTATATATTTTTTTGCTTTCTACCATGTTATAATGTTGTTCCCTCATCAAAAATAAGGCTTTAGATCAGAATCCTGCACGGGTCCATTTTTGGAGCCATGCACCCACCTGCACCCGCCCGCATCTACCCGCATCTGCCGCACCTGCGCAGTACAGCACCACACATGCCCATTAACCCGTGATTATATCAAAGTTTAATCTGCACCCGCCCGGACCCGAGGTAAATCAGGGTCAGCCCAATAATCCGACAGCTCAGTAGTCCAGGACTGGACCAGGACTGAACCAGGACAGAACCAGGTCTAAACCAGGATTAAACTAGGACTAAACCAGTACTAAACCAGGACTGAACAGGAGTGAACCAGGTCTAAACCAGGACTAAACCAGTGTCATTAGCATAAATATATACATGCCACAACCGCCTAACCGCCTAACCGACAGCCCAGGACTGGACCAGGACTGAACCAGGACAGAACCAGGTCTAAACCAGGACTAGGACTAAACCAGTAACTAAACCAGGACTGAACAGGTAAACCCAGGTCTAAACCAGGACTGAACCAGGTCTAAACCGGGTCTAAACTGGGTCTAAACTGGGTCTAAACTGGGTCTAAACCGGGTTTAAAAAACCGGGTCTAAACCGGGTCTAAACCGGGTCTAAACCGGGTCTAAACCGGGTCTAAACCGGGACTAAACCAGGACTAAACCAGGACTAAACCAGGAGCTCAGCTGCTGAGTCGATCGCCTCTGCTGATGGTTGTAATAAATACACTAAAGTCTCTCAGCCTGGTCTGCCATTGTTCCGGGAAAGACCAGGAAATGGCTCTTGTTTCCAGGGTAACGGACTTCCTGGAAGTGCGTCAAGTATTTTTCTCCAGTTCGTCGTTCATTTGATTCACTTGACCCTCCCGTGCGTAATCACAACCCGCCCGCATACCCGCCTGTAAAATTCAAGAACGTTAAAACCCGCCCGTTTCAGCAACTATTTGCGGGTACCCGTTGTCATCCGAACATGTTTCTGTAATCTAGTGATCTCTCCCCAGCACTATTCTAACCCTCCTTACGGTCAGTTGTAAGATTCAGTGCTCAGTCCACAAGCCTTCATCATCCATGCTCCCACACAGCAAGTCTCCATAAATATTCAAAAGCACAAACTGTACACAACAACTTGACAAACCTGATGCAAAGTTTCATGCTGGTTCTGTGGTGATAGCGCTCTGAAGGGGGAGTGACTTAGAGCGTCAAAAGCACAAGTGAAACTGTTTTTGGTGAATATAGTATTTTCAAAAAACTGAAGAGTAACATGGTGATCTAAACATGTTATGTGTTAGCAGATAATACCTTATAAAAGTAAAATACTCCCTCTTTAAAGATGCATTGTGTAACGTTTCTGATGGAGGGTCCGTCAAATGTTTTTCTCCATGGAGATGATTTTTTGTTTGGAATGTTTCACAGTGTGGTATTAAATCTTTCTATCATCATGGAAACCAAACCAGACCAAGTTACAGGTCAGATCTGTGGAGAGGCAACCCCGCTCACAGTCAGAATGCCTGTATATTTGAGCTATAAAAGCACCTGTAATTGAATAAATGTAAGGTAGATCTGTTTAATGTCATACTGTGGAACATTCCAGGTAGATGACATATTCATAGAAACAAGCAGGTGATGGACTCCCAACCAGAGTCCATCACCTGCTTTATATAGTGCACCTTTAATGAGTTGTACTGTGTTGTTTTTCAATCCAGAGAGCTAAGATTGGTCCAGGCAAGAACACAGACGGGAAGGCAGCCAACGCAGCATCTCGGTTTGACTCCAACGGAAACCAGGACCGAGTGAAGCTGTCCGACTTCAACTTCCTGATGGTGCTGGGGAAGGGGAGCTTCGGCAAGGTAAGGATGGAATAAGAAAGGAAGATTGTGTTATGGAATGCACATTAGATTAGCACTTCTACCTCACAGCAAGAAGAAGTCTATTTCCAAACAAGATGGAAGTGAGTTTTCATGTTGTTAGAATTCATTGGTCCTGTATAGCAAATTTCATATATAAAGTTGTTTCACATTTTTTTGCATTAATCAGTAGCTCTCCGTACAAAGTGTTGCCAGAGTTGCTTTTCAGGTAGACTTACATAATATAAGAGAGTCTGCCAATCGAGGATATTGACGCAGGCATTTGAAGTGTCTTGCCAAAGGACGCAACTATAGTATGCGTTTGGACCAAGATGGGATTGACAAATGCTTTTTATGGTGAAAAGAAGGTTGTGTATTTGAGATATTTTGTATAAATAAGGTACACACTTGTATCTGTTCTTTTTAATACAATCACTATGCAAATACATTGTTTTAATATTGAATAGGATCACTAAACTGTTAACAGTATTCAGAAACACTGGTTTGTGATAGGGATTGTTTATCGATTATTAGTTATCGGTGGTATCGGAGGATTTTCCAAGATTTTGATATCGCTCCAAAATTGGAAATGTAGCCGATATAGAGCTCCAATATTTTTTCTGCCCTGCCCCAGTCCACGTCATCCCCAGTGCATCAAAAATGTCTTTTTTTTCTTCATCGTCTTCTTAATATCGGTTGTCAGCCAAAACAGCAAGATAAATATCGGATCGAATCAGCTCAAAAATCCATATCTCTTAAAAGGCCAATATTACACTGCCTTATATCTGTTCTAATTAGGGCTGGGTATCATTAAGAAGTTGCCAATACGATACATAGGCCACGATACGATACATATCTCAATACAGTTAACTTTCGATTCAGTACAATATATTTCAAATCGATTCAGTACATTTTAATAAAAATAAAGGCTAAGATACAGCTGTGATTCTAAAAGTCCTTGTTAAGCCACTTCTTGTGCAAAGTGAAACACACCCATTTTACTCATCAAAAGAGTAAATATGTCAAATGTGTTAGATTAACGAGTTTTCATCAACTAAATAAACAACAAAACTGTTAACCAGGCTGGCACCACCTAGTGCCTCCGCTTAATTTAATTTCTCTTCAGCGACTAGGTCAGGAATCGGAATACACTAGATAGAAGTTTGACTCTGGTCACCAGCCAGTCAGCGAAGAGCCATACATTCTGTGTTGGCAATGATTCCCAAGGCTGAGGATTTAAAGCCGGAACAAAGAGAATGTTTGGTGAATTTTATCAAGGGGAAAGTGGTTATTGTCCTTCTTCCTATGGGATTTGGGAAAAGCTTAATATACCAGTTAGCCCTGTTAGTGGCGCATTACACCCATCACGACCAAATAGCAGCGGTTAAATGAAAAAAAGTACCTGCTTACCATCAAGCAAACAAATCCTAATGCTCCGAGGTCAGACAGTTTCTACAAAGTGAAACCGGCTGATGAATAAAATGAAAAAAATACTATTGGCGATATAACAATACAGCAGCCCATGATATCGATACTGTATCAGCACATTAAGCGATACGATATATTGGTATTTCAATATTTTTGCACACTCCTAGTTCTAATGTTGTTTCCTCATCACAAACATACCTGGGGTTGTGGTCTGTTTCATTCACATATTTAAGCTGACTTCTTCTCTCAAACAGAAGCCACTCTGTTCCACCTTGTGATGTCATGTGGGAATATAGGAAGTGCTCCACTGTGTTTTTAAACCCCCACACACCTGATTTCAGCCCTGGAATTGCCCATTTATACTGATCCACAGAGCATTTTGAGCTTTGGAGATGTTGACAGAGTAGTAATAACGGATTACTCAAACATGTGTGAATAAAACAAAACAGAACTACAGGTCTTTTTTTTACCAGGTAACAGCATTATAACATGGTTTAAATCTCACATTTTCCATAATATGAGCCCTTTACAGAACCCAGAAGCCATAGTTGAGAGCCAAAATGAAAACATATGACCAGCTATTACTGTTTTCCACTTTGTTAACACTAGTGTGGTTACGACACTAATTCCAACATGATCCTCTCACCCAGAAGCAAGAGTCAGCGAAGGGCAAGGATTGTCGGACAGAGACAGATGCACTGGTCAGGGGGGTAAAGAAGAAGAAGGAGAAGAAGAAGAAAAAAAAAAGGGACGACAAGCCGAGGGAGTGATGAAAAGACAGAGAGACATAGACGTGACAGCGCCGCGCCAAGGTTGACATGAATGAATTTAGAGAGGTAAAAACGTCACTGTGAATGAACGGAGGTAGAGCGAGGAGGAGGAGGAGGGGGGGGCTATCGGTTGAGTGACAAGAATGAAGGAAAAATGGATGTACAAGATGAAGGGAGAGGAGAGGAGAGAGAGCGCGGAAAATTGGGTAAACGCTAGCTTCAGAGCGGCGGGGATGGAACAAGAGAAAGTGACAGAAAGCGACAGAGAGGCTGCGTTTTGTGTGTGCGTGCGCGCGTGTGCGTGCGCGGAAGACCTAGGTTGCCGGCTGCCTGTTTCCATGGTAACAGGCATTTAAAGCTACACGGGTTTCGTCAATGCGAGGAGCCGAGGGTCAATCGTTACTGGAATATGCTACGCTCCCAGATTCCTTAAACGCACACGCAGATAAGCTACAAGAGCTCCTTCGGCAACATGGAGACTGTTCGCCGGATCTGATAAATATGGCGGAGGGTGAATGGGTTCGGAGGTGTACAGCGACTGCAGATAGTCTCATGTAAAATGCACAAACATGGATGTCAGTGTGGAGGCTGGTGGGGTTTGAGTGGGAGGATGTAGAGCTTCTGTCTTGGTCTATACCTTATGTGCATTATAATAGAGCTCCACTATGGCCCCTTTCCTGTACGGTCTGTGTGGAAACATGGTTAGAAACTGTCAGCACACATGAAAGTGTTTAGTTAGATGTACTCAGTGGAAATTTGCTCTAATTTGTTTACAAGAGTTGACAAAAATGTATCACAATTTTTCCCTAATGTTGATCAATACAATTTTTTTTTTTGTTACTATTTAATTTTGTATGAAGTGAGTGACCTAAGTGAATCAGATTAATCATGATTCATCGCATTGCATGTTAATCATTTCTTTAAATATTCTTTACCATTGCCTTTTATTTTTATTATATGATCATAAACGCTTCATTTTGTGCCTTCTTTATCATTATTATTACTAGAGCCCGACCGATATGGATTTTGCTGTGGCCGATATGAAACCAATATAATGGAAGATGGAGCTGCCGATAGCCGATATAATCACCGATATATTTAGTGATGTAAAAATTCACTGTAAATGTTGAATTGTTTAAAAAACTTAGGTTTGGCTCTGGTGGATTTTAAATTGGGTTTATTTAGGCAACATTTATTGTTATTCTGCCTCTTTACATCATATTTACAGACAGTAGGTTGGCTTAATGGCATTTTTGCATCACATTCTAGACACTAGTGATGGGTATTCCAGTTCTCTTTAGAGAACCGGCTCTTTTGGCTCGGCTCACTAAAAGCTGCTGGTTCTTTTGGCTCCCAAGTGGCTCTTCAGATTGTTTTGTTGCAAGCAGGACTAAAGCACGTCTAAAGCAGGACCGAATCAGGACTGAACCAGGTCTAAACCAGGACTGAAAAAGGACTAAACCAGGACTTATTTATTTTATGCTAAACTACAGTCAAATATGCTCGTTTTTTTTATTTTAAATTTTTTTTAATCCTACGTACACGCAAATTTCTCAAAGTTTCATTTTTAGCCGCTGACGCTGTCATACCATGAATCTGCACGCGGCGTGAAGAGAAAAAAAGTGAGAGAAAGAGAAAAACACGGCTCCCAATAAGGATCAGGCTCCCGTCTTTCCCTTTAAAGAGCCGGTTCTAAGAGTCATTTCGTTCGCGACGGACCCATAACTAGTAAAGAAAGTAGCGCTATTAGCCTTTAGCCGTAAATACGTGCGCGCCGCGGTAATTAATTATATGCGCAAATGTCATAATTCACACCTCTATTCACAGCTCATTTACATATCAATGCAGGTCCAGTAGCAAATATACGGCCAATACAGTCACTTTAGAACAGACCAATAGAAAACAGTCTGTTTATGTGCGGGAGCTACAGAAGCTAACCCATAACAAATGACAAAAACTAGCTTCAGAGTCGACATATTTCCAACACTCACCGCTCATACAGGCTCCTCCTCACATCACAAATCTGCACTAATAAATGTCCTTTTAATCCAGACTCAAACCGATTGGCTGTAAAAAGAATATAATCTCAGTGTTTGGATCTGTGTCTGCAGGTGTAAACAAACACACGTGAGTGACGCAACTCTGTGGTGTGTTCAGGGACAGTACGGACACACACAGACAAATGACTCCGTAGATAAATACTGATGTGGAGCCACATATTAGGACATTTATCTGTCTGTAAATTGGATTAAATGAACAGAATGTAGAGAGTCTAAGCTTTATAGCGAGGTATAACATGCCCACGTGAAATATCGGCCCATATCAGCAAGCATATCGGCCGATAGCCGATATGCCTAAAGTTGCCAATATCAGCCGATAATATCGGCCAACCGATATATCGGTCGGGCTCTAATTATTACTTTGTACGACCATAAACAAAAACAAAAAACAAAACTGGCATCTTTAAAAAATGAAGATAAGAACTAAAAAAAAAAAACTTGTATAATAACTTGATGGTTTTTATGCCTTGTAAAAGAAAAAGTTGTCCTTTTTATGGTAAATTACCGACAGCTGTGGCTGCCAGAACTTTACCATTAAAGTAAAACATTTCCTTCATTTACAGCAAAAAAAATATATATACTGTTGATTACACAGTTAAATAATGTGCTTATTACAATATTTGACAGTAAAAAAAAAATTTGACATGGAAATTTGTTATTTTTAATGGTAAAACTGTTTTATTTAATGTATTTCTTTCTTTCTTTTCTTTTCTTTTCTTTTTTTACAGTAAAATATTGCAATTTT